CTTCATAAGTTCTTTCGCCGACACTTGGCTTCTGCAAAGTTATTGATTACTGTTGTAAAATTTATGTTTTTGACACGTTCTTTTTCTATGGACAGTATCGGCAGGTTTGAGAGCCTTTCATCGCTCATGGTGGAGCGCAGATACGTTTTTATTAGCTTTAGCTTGGAAAAGTTCCTTTCACATGAGACGACTGAAACACAAATGGTGAGGAACAAGCGAAATATAACAGTCAGGTTTGAAAGGGTCTCGAAAAAGCTCCATTTGGCAATAAATTCTAGAAACTGCATTGCATTCCAAGTTTTTGTCTCATTAGGATGCTTCCCAGCGGCTTTCAGGTGCCTTCGCAGTCGGACGATCTCCATAACGATTTCGTCATCATGACCGGTGTACTCGTCATAAACTTCAGTGAGGCTTGGTGTCAATGGTACGCTGTGGCAACAGGGAAACGCCGTCGCCGTCACAACATTACGAATTCACTTGCCAGAACACTACATTGTGACCGCCTCCCGACGGCGAGCGACGCGCTTCTAGAACTTACGGTGGGGTCAGAGAGCGGGGGAGTTTGCTGAGCAGAAGCCTTTCGCCAGCACCTCCTCTCGGCACTTCACCCTTGGGGTGAGGGGGACGACACTTTGAGAGTTTACCCGTGTAAGACCTTCGTGTGATTTCTTTCTTCTTCGTCTGGCGCCTTCTCTTGCTGTCTCGGCGCAGTCCGGCCGTGGTCGGCGCAAGCCAGCGTCGTGTTGCGCTGGGTTTGGCGTAGACTAGGTGGCGTTGGCTCGGCGTGCCCGGGCACAGCCCTTTCTCGAGTGCTCCCGCACTTTCCGCGCTTGTTTTTTCCGCCGGTGCGCGATGACTTTGGGCGAGCCAAGCCAGTTTTGCGACTCTGCACCAGACACGTTCGTGATGGAAGAGTGGTGACCTCATGCGTTTACAAATTCTTTGCCACTTACGAACCAGTCAAGCCGGGGGGATTGCCGCCATAAGTGGCACCCCCCTCGTGACTGAGACTCCTGGTACCCGGGGCCCACGGCCCCCCGGCCCCCCCGTTACTACGCCACTGGATAGGGGTAACCAGTATCTATTAACACAAAAAAAAAGACATGAAAGATGGAGTCTTAAAGATCATTTGAAGATTTTCGAAGCTTTACTAGAGCCACTCAATGTATTTATTTATTTCCCTAGAGAACAGAAACTGTTTCAGAAATCTGTTGGGGCACAGGAATGGGGGGTTCAAGATGGGCGACATGTGCAATCGAGCAAGTGATCAGCATTCTCCTTTCAGAAACAAGGAATGGGAGAGCAGAATCGTCAAGGTCACTCCATTCACTGCTGAGCTGACGGGGCAGTGGAAGTTACGTGCTTGCTCGAACGATCAATCGCCTACCCTTCATCGCCTGATCACCTGGTGCAAAGCAGACAATTGAATTATTCATAATTTTTGAGTATTTGAAAACGATCAATAACGACTTCGGAATTCTTCGATTCATCGTGTCAAGCCTCCCTCGTAGTGCACATGTCTACTAAATTGCTGACTGTTCCAGGTTTTCGCAAATATTTTCGACTGCCCGACCGTTACAACACAAGAAAATGGAGAGGATGGGGTCGCAGTTGCTGCTCGGGCTGTTCACGTTGAACCCAGTGAATCTGATGGTAGCTTACGCCGCATAGTAGAGATGCCTCGGGCAACTCTCGCTCTGCGCGAAGGCCATCCACGTTACCATAGACCCTCCCGCTTTGTTGCAAACCTCACTTTCCTTGAGTTACTGTAACCAATTTTTTGACGATTTCCCTGACAAATGATCCTAACAGTTCCAGAAGCTTTCCGATTCCCTGACAATGTTAAATGTTCCAGATTGGGAGACACCCTGTTCGCTGCTTTGCACCAGATTTCGGGATGTCAAGCCTCAGCAACGGCAGGCGCAAATGAAGTTTCACGGCTTTGCCCAGGCATACTAGGAGAAACGGTTGACGTGTTGCCGCATTTTGGTTGTCTCGAAGGTTTCAGAAATTTGGCTCAGCATTCTGGGTCAGGCCTCCTTGGTTATCATTAGTTTGGCCCGACTGCTGGAAGAGAAACCTTCGAGCTATATCCAAATAAATTACCTGGTCATTCTCACTTCGCATTATGTTTTATCCAACTCACCTTGTCAGGGCCCCTTTTTTTCCCTAGTTCAAGAGCGACATTTTTTAAAATTTATTTTTAGATACTTTATTACTAGACTCATTACAGGTGATAGTTTCCTCGTTTGATCTTCTGGATTAAAAATAATACAGTAGCCTTAAAACAAAGAACAACACAAACACTCGCAGTGATGTGATTGCTGCGCCAATTGCACCAAACTGCGGCGACGGGCTAACCCTGCTACATCCTGCTACATTTTGCCAAAACATCGGTAATCTGCGCCAAGCCTGCGCCAATAAACCAATATCGGTCGCCTCGCAAAACCGAAACTAGACTGAGTACCGTAATTGAGCATGCCTGTGTTATGTGACGCAAGCGGTCGCCCGTCACAAAGTACCGTGCATTAATTGTCCATCCGATCTTGCATGGTTTTCCCGCCGTCTCGCGTTTCGCGCACCCCTCGTTTCGTGGGTCTCGTCTTGCGTGTTTTTTTTTTTATATTTTCAACGATTAGCGACGAGATGTTTAGGTGGCGCCCTTCTGTGGTTCCTTCTCGTGACGTCATTACCTCGCGAATAGCAAGTTCGATAATGTTTGCAATGAGCATGGTGGAAGCTTGAAATCATTGGGCTCTGAAACCAACGCTGCTAACACCGCCAAAATTGAAGTTTTTTCATTCCTCTTATTTCCGGCGAAGAGAAATCCTTTGGTGACATCATAGTCAGCATGGGCGTCCGGAAGGGGGGGGGGGGGGGCAAGGGGGGGCGGTTGCCCCCCCCCCCCCCCCTACAACTTCGGAGCATTTTTTTTTTTTTAGTTTGAGCATGCATTGGTAAAAAGCTACTCAACTTTTGCCAACACACTGGAGTTCTCCATATGACAAGAAGTCTGCCCTATCTGTACGAAACGCCCTTTAGGATTGCGAGCCGACTTTACATGTCACATATTATGACTGATCTAGCCCGTCAGGTCCCGGTGGTGAAGGAAACACTGGCTGGCTATTGAAGATATTTATGATAGAGGACAGTTCTAAGCTGAAAGTTCGATGCTATTTTTTTCTTATGAATTTCATGGATTTTGCATTCTTATATCGTACAGTAGAGTTTTTGTATCAAATTGCCCGCCCCTGGAAAAACTTGTACTGCATTCAAGGTTAAGGGAGTAGTGCCTTTTAATACGAATCGTTTCAATGAAACTAAGTTGCTACGCCATAATTTTTAGATCCCAGTTAAATCAAACCGAAACCAAATTTGATGAATTGTTATCTATCTTAATAGTAAGGTTAATTAATTATATACGCTGTTTTTATTGCTGAAAGTCTTTAATACGTGACATAATATACCTTGCCATGTTTTCTGTGTATAAGAACGAGTGTCAGACACTTCAGACGAATGGAAGCAACAAAAACACCAGGGTAGCCGCATAGTCATCGACACGACTGCAATCTGCCGGTACTACGCGGGCTTCGCTGTTCTGTACGCCGTGCTGGGATTTGCTGGCGTGGAGTGAAGAATTGAACAAACAACGATTCCAAAGACGTAAGCTACTGCCCGCTATGACTGTTCACTGTGTCCGTTACAATCAATCCGTCCATTTCGCCTGTTCGCCATCTCCCACGAGGCACTCTCTAGTCACCTTTGCCTAGCGCGATCCGAGACAATGGACATTCGACACTTCTTCAAGCGTCAGCGGATGTGTGACGAAGTGTTATCAAGTTGTCCTGCTGAAGATCCTGGTGTGACATGTTTCAACGTTGCCACATCTGACCAAAGTGAAGCAAGCTTTCATCACCAGACAGCAGCTGACATCGTTGAGTCTACGAGAGGGACTGCACCAACGGTGAGCTCCCACGACGTAGTAAGCTACGATGATTCCCCTTCCCCTTGTTTGGGTTTAAGCCAAGGTGACACCAGCAAGGAAGCAACTCGGGTCTTTAATAATTATGACTTGGGGGAGTTTCTAGACAAAGCTAAACACACGGGCATCCCGGACTCTTTGAAGTTACGCCTTCTTACTGACCCATGGACGCCAGATGTTAAGTACGACTTTAAGAAAGATGTAACATCTGTCGAGAGAAGTTTCCGCTACCAATGGCTGGCAGATTACTCCCCTTGGCTTGCGTGCTCAGCGACAGCGAAAGGCGCCCTTTGCCGTTACTGCGTCACTTTTGCCTCCAATGTTCACCGCGGCACTCAAGGTAGCTTTATCGTGCGTGCTTTCATGAACTACAAAAAGATGCATAAGGCGTGCAGGGATCACGTAAAGTCCCAATGGCACCAGGAAGCAATGGCAGCCTCACAAGACTTTATGAATGTAATGATGAGCAAGCAGGCTACCCGTTGCACAGCAGCTGAACAGAGCACTGCGTCACCAAGTTGAAAAGAACCACGAGAAACTATTTCCTATAGTTCCCACCATCATCTTTTGCGCAACGCATGACTTGCCTATTCGCGGGAAGCAGTCTGACAGTGGAGTCTTCAACGATCTCCTTGATTTTCGGGTGGAAGCTGGAGATGCTCGACTTCAGGAACACTTCGCTTCTTGTGCTGGCAACGCAAAGTACACTTCTGTCCGGATCCAGAACGAGATCATCACAATCTGTGGCGACATCCTGAGAGAGCAAATTGTGTTTGAAGGTAACACAGCGTTGGCTTTCTCCGTCCTTGCGGACGAAACGGCGGACATTGGAGGAACAGAACAGCTGTCTATAGGCATTCGCTTTATTGACAAGGCGGGACCGAGGCATTCGTTCGGGAGCAGTTTATGGGATTTTTAGAGCTGGAACAACTGAACTCCGCTTGCATCGCCACCACAATCTTGAAGTTTTTGAAGGATGCCGGGCTGATTCTGTCGAACCTCGTTCGACAGGGATACGATGGATGCTCTACAATGGCTGGAAAAGAAGCTGGAAATACAGAAAGAGCTTCCTAAGGCACTATTCTTCCACTGCGCAAGTCACAAACTCAATCTCGTGATCAACGATCTGAACGAGGTCTCTGAAATTCGAAACACGATAGGGGTCATCAAACAAACCATAAACTTCTTCCGTGAGAGCGTGCTCCGAAGGAAATTGGTGCCCAACATTCCGATGCTGCGTGAATCAAGGTGGTCTGCAAAATACAAGTCAATTCGGATCTTCTCTGAGCATTACGTGGCCACAGTCGAAGCGCTCGAGGACCTGGCATCAATGGAATCAAGCTCGAATGCTGGAACGAGGCAACGCGCTCATATCCTCCACTGCGGAACAACGAGCTCATCTTTCATCGTCTCTTTGCACATTGTCGCGAAATACAGCGCACGGCTGGAACCGGTTACGAACGTTTTGCAGAGTGTATCCATGAATTTCCATTCTGTACACAACCACATCACTGAGCTGCAGAATATTTTTCGCGGCCACCGGACCAACGCTGAAGAGCAGTTCTCGGATATCATGAAGACAGCAAGTGAAGCGGCCAATCATCTAGGCGTGTTGATATCTGTACCCAGACAAGCCTCACAGCAGGCCCACCGAGACAACTACGGGATACAGTTGCCGGAAGAGTATTACCGCGTGGCAATATATGTGCCGTACTTGGACTCTCTCAATGCTTCTTTGGCTCGCCGCTTTTCTGAAAGCAACATGAAGAGCTACAGACTTCTCCGGCTGCATCCAGCAAGAATGAAGCACTTGAGTCGCGTTGAGTTTGCTGTTCTCGCCGATGAACTCCAAGGCTTTTACGGCATCGAAAACTTCAAGGAAGAGGGCATCTCCTGGTACGAGATGTGGCTCAACAGAACTGAGGACTGCTCAGAAATATCTTATCCCGAACTTCTGCTTCAGGCAAAGACGTTCTTTCCCGCTGTCGCAAACGCCATCGAGGTGGCTCTTGCCTTACCAGTTACCACCTGCACTGTCGAACGCTCGTTCAGTACACTAAGGAGAGTGAAGACGTGGCTACGTTCAACTAAGAGGAACGATAGGCTGGACGGCCTTTGTATGATGAGCGTACACCGGGAGCGTGTAATGAAACACAAGGACGGCTTTATCACCCGTGTAATCACGCAATTTGCCCAGAAAAGTCCAAGGTGTCTGCAGCTGTTATTCAAGGAAGACTAACTACAGTCGCATATTGGTGAACATTTCGTGTTGTGTGCTGGTCATCAGTTCGCGTGAGCCGCGAACCCACGTTCATAGAGACTTGGCACTCTTGTTGCCAACATATTTTTAATAATTTTTCTGCATTTTGAATAATTAAACTTGCTTTGTTCAATAACAAAATCCAGTCTCTTTTTTAAGCCTGGCAGTTTACCTTGCCGTTTCTAATTTTTTTTTTATCCTTGAAGTTTACACCGGAAATCGCGCATCTTCGGCAATTTCTTTTCCCTTAACCCACCCCCTCCCCCTTTCCCCGGCCCTTTATGTGCACGGGTGCCCCCCTGGAAAAAGTTCTGTGGACGCCCATGATAGTCAGTACTCGGCCAATCGTGAAAGGCAGATCACAGCGATGCTTTCGATTGCGCACGTCGCCAATAGACGCGGGTGTGTGTCGACGTTCCGACGCTAGCGTGCCGGGTATCAGCCACGCCGTCATGCTGTGAAACGAAACCACGTTTTTGCGAGGCAGGAGTTACTTTGTGAACTGAAGCATTCAGTCCTGAAAGCAACGGCCGTGTGAAAACTATATTTGGTCCCCGCCTTTTAGTCACCGTGGTCTCGCGACGTCGGGTGTTGTCGTCCCCACGTCGCTGCAGATATGGCGCTTTCTAAAATGAAATTAAGCACCGCCGCATGTTCACCAACATTCCTGTTTTTATTTAAATCATACGCTATATACTGCGAAAATCCCTCTTTAGCTCAAAAACTGCTTGTCGAAATAATAATTACCTAGGTTTCTCTCGGTGGGCTTTCTTTCGAGGGGGACCCCTGTACGTGAAAAATCTGCTGCGAAAGAAAGTCGGTAAAGAGAAGCGAGCTAAAGCAAAGAAGGCAATGTCTGCACGTTGAACCCGCAGAGCGAGCTTGTTTGTCTCGAGTTCAGCTCCAAGAACTTTTTGACCCCGGCTCGCGATGTCTTGCATCGATGCACTCAGTTTCTTTTTTTATGTGTGTGTTTAGCTTGTACCTTGTTTGCCGGCCTGGCAAGCACGTGCCGCTGGACTATTCTTTGTCGTATGCTTCACAGTTACATTTTACAGGCAATTCTGCGATTCAATGGGCGACGGAGTGGAGATGGCATGGTTTCAATTTCGATCGAACAGCCGTTGTCTCCGCTCGCGCGACGAAGCACGCGCAACTGCAAGCCTGCCAAAGTTGCTCTCACGTACATGCGAACATGATTGCACGACAGAGGCACCAGCCGGGACGCTTGCAATCCATTGTTTTACGTTTGCTTACTTTTGACGAAAATCTGGCACCTCGGGAACCAGTAAAACGGTGGCAAATGGCTTTTCGGAATTGCTCGGCGATGTTTACAGCACTGTATACACTAGTGGGATGTCTCAGTAGTAAAAACACATGCAGCGAGTTCCTTGACAACACGTCACATCAGAACACTACACAAACTGTCCCTGTTTGTACTGCACTTAGAACGAATATGTTTATTTTTCTGAGAATATCTGCTCCAAACGCCACTTTTGCTGCTCCGAAACACTGTCTTCGGTGCTCCAAAAGCCTCTTTTGCTGCTCCAAAACATTGTTTTGGTTGCTCCGAAAGGTGCTCCGAAATTGCATAGGCCAATCACATCACTGCACTTGCAGTGATAAGGATACCATGCATCATTTTAGAACAGAGATCTCAAAACCCCGGCGCCCGCGGAGGTGTTCTGGCCGGCTCGCAGATAGCCGCGGTTTTTCCACTGATGCACAACCCGCAGCCCGTTGCTACATACGCCAAAAAAATTAATAAAAAATAAAAGAATAAAATGTTGCGAGGCGCACCAAAAGCTCAAATGAATGAGAACTGCATGAAAACGTGGGTTCTCTCGCCATACTATTTAGTGTACAATGTCATCACCGACAATATTACTCGCAGTTCCCTGCTTCATGTCAGCGCATGCTATGGCAAACTTCCTTTTGCGTTCTCATGTATATCGTGCTTAATGTCTTCCGTCATAACGCTCGCATGAATTGTCGTCATCACAGCTACTATTCTCGTTAGTCTTCTGGCGTGTGTGAATATCCAATTATTTTGTAATCTCAAAATTAGCAACATATTACAATAGAAACGATACTATACATAATCATCTACCATAGTTTGTTTTGATTATTGCATCTTGTCTCAATTTTTGTAGCTAAAAAGTTGTTTAGGCTTATTTATTGGGTATTTCCTCGTTTATATTGTATACGTATATTCCCGCCCTCGAGACTGCGACAGGTACCCAATGCGGCCCGTTAGCCAAGACGTTTAGAGATCCCTGTTCTAGAACAGCACTAAAACTAGCAGTTTGAGAATACCATAAAATAAAGTGGCAAAGCGATACACAGATGTATGTTTTCTTTACAAAAACAAAACAAAAACGCTTTCACATATTTCCCACGAATGTTGTCAAAGAAATGCAAGAATCAGGTATACAAGCACTCGAAATCATGAAGGCATGGGAGGGAATTTGAAATAAAAAGTGTGAGGGGAATCTGAAAAAACAGTGTTTTTGTGCGACAGAACTGCCTCTTTTCATGGGTTCAGAAATTTGCGAGTTGCGATTTCTTTAATTTCATTTCGTTTCATTTATTATCCCTCAAAGGCCCCGCCAGGGGCAATACATAAGGGGGGGGGGGGGGGAATGCAAAGAAGCACACAAGTAGAACTTTTATACAATAAAAACAAAAAACAAAACATAGAAACAAGATGTTTCTGAGCACTGGCCATAGGTAGGAGCATCGCACTGATTACATAATAAATATAGACGATACAGCATGTCTGAAGAGGTCGGGGTCACTGATGAGCACTACATGGTCCGGTAGATTGTTCCACTCTATTATGGCAAGGGGAAGGAATGAGCTGTTAAAGGTGACAGTGGAACCATGGATGCGACGTACCCTAAGGGAGCTAAAAAGTCGTCGGGATGAACGATGCGGTTCTAACAGTAGAGACTGTCTGAGTAGAGGGTGGTAATAAAAAATCTTCTGGAAAAGACAGATGCGTAATAATTTTCGGCGAGAAATGAGAGTGGGGAGGCATAAGGAAGCCTTCGTGGCCGCCACACTGGCAGTGCGTTCATAATTAGAAAGAATCAGGGATGGGCAGTATTTGAAATGCAAGTCTTTGAAATACGTATTTCAAATACTTTGTGTATTTTGGATTTGTATTTAATTACAAATTGGGTAATGTATTTGACGTGTGTATTTAAATACTAAAACGTGGGTATTTCAAATACACTTGTAATTAAATAAAATTTTTTGGGCGAAAATACATCCCTCAAATTTATTGCGACTGTCCAGAGCAGGAAGAAAACTACGTTCTGCACCGAACGCAGTGTCTCTCAATCAAGCACAAGTGTTTAGTGACTTTGTGGTTGCGGCGCTAGTCCAGGCCCGGGCAAAAATAGTGACGGAACCGACGTTGACAGGCAGACTGGTTAAATAAGTGCTTGTGACAACTTATGATGCTTTTCAGCCTGATTTCCATCCATATTTTTGCCTGGAACATTTTAAATGCGCGGGTCGTCCAGATTTACGTAACTGGTGCGAGTTGCAACAATAAAAAATTCTCTAGCTAGGGCTGGGCGTCTTGGTCGTCTCGGTTCTTTGTTGTTCTATACCAAAATGTAATCGACAAAACAAACTGCTTGAAGCTCTGTACTTTTTTCACCTATTGCGTTCAAGCCGATTACATTTTTATTATTATATTTTTTATTACGTTACTAGAGCCTCACACACTAACTCCCGAGTGTGCGATGCAAAATTTAAATGAGATACCCAGAAACCCGTTGCAGGTGCCCTGAAGTCGCTGACGCAAATTGTGACGAATGTATTTGGAAAAGTATTTGGAGGAGACCAAATACATTTGGTTGTATTTGTATCTTGTACATAAATGCTTTTTTGGAAATGTAATTAGATTTGTAATTAAATACATTTTTGACGAAGAATTTTGTATTTGTATTTTGATACATATTTTCATGTATTTTGCCCATCCCTGGAAAAAATGAATCGTGTAGCACGATTTTGAATAGATTCTAAGGAGTTAGTGAGGTAAATCTGGTGTGGGCACCAAATGGCAGCAGCATACTCAATTTTCGGACGCACAAAAGTTTCGTAGGCCAGCTGGCGCAAAGCTGGAGGGGCTGAGTGCAGACAACGTCGAATGTAACCAAGCGTTCTGGAAGCTTCGGCATGTATGGAGTCAATGTGGAGGGTCCAAGACATATGGGAAGAAAAATGAACGCCAAGGTATTTGTACGATTGAACACACTCAATTGTTGATGAGCCTAGAGAATATTTGAAAAGAGATGGGGAATGTTTTCGAGAAAAACAGACAAACTTACATTTAGAGTGGTTTAGTAACATTAGCCATTGATCACACCATTTGGTTATATTGTCGAGGTCTTTCTGAAGAAGAAGGAGATCGGAGGAGCAATTTATTTGGCGATAAATGACACAATCATCAGCAAATAAACGTATGTTAGAGGTGATAGAATTTGGAAGGTCGTTAATAAAGATCAAGAAAAGAAGCGGACCTAGGACACTGCCTTGTGGGACCCCAGACAAAACATCGGTAAGGTTCGATTCTAAAGTGTTGACGACTGTATATTGGACTCTGGATGAGAGAAAGCTGTGAATCCAAGATACGATTAAGGGATCAATATTGAGTCGCGATAGTTTTGCGAGTAGGCGTAGGTGAGGAACCCGATCGAAAGCCTTGGAAAAGTCTATGAAGATGGCATCCGTTTGAGAGAGCGAGTCAAGGTTAGTGTGCAGGTCGTGAGAAAATTAAAAAAAGTTGGGTGACGCAGGAATGACCCTGGCGAAAACCATGCTGGTTTTGGAAAAAAAAGGTTATTACAGGTTAGGTGATTCATAACGTTAGAGAGGATGATATGCTCTAAAAGCTTCGATGCAATGCATGTGAGCGATAGGGGACGATAGTTATCACGAAGGGATCGATCACCGCTTTTGAAGAC